AAAAAAGCATATTCGCATACCTCCGTCATTGTCGGTGTATGAGTGACATGATATACAACTCCATAGGCTCCTTTGCCGAGTAAATTCAGTTCTCTATATTCATCGGCTTTCGACGAGCGCCAATATGGAGGCTGTGAAGCCGCCAACGTCATTTAACCTGAGATATCAGATATTTTGAGATAATAAGAAATTACTCAGCTCTGAAATGATCGATTTGACATGGCAAACAAAATATACAAATCTTTGCTTCCTCAACTTTTTGATTAAGCCAAGCAAAAATAGCATTGATTTTCGATTGATGTTTAGCCTTGTCGTCTTTTGAATACTGGTGACATCAGCATCCAATGGAGAAAGAAAAACAATCCGTAAGAATTCTTTTTTAAATTTCCTGAACTGCATGAGACAATCATTCAAATTCGCGCGATGAAACGATTTCCCGCAAACATTCAAAACTGTCAGTGCACTCCAACAAAAAGTTAGATTATCGGTCAGAAATCGAACTAATGTCTTCCTTTTCTGCAAAGATAAACAGAAATAGGTTCCTCTTATATAATTTAGTCTATAAGAAAGAAAATCTTTGGGGAAGTCTACTTTTATTATCGGCAATGGCGAAAAAGTAGTTACTTGATCAAAAGAACAGACAAATTGAGAACAGAAATCACAGCCTGCTGAGGTCCGGCAAATCGACCTGCAGATGGGTATCGACAAGTCATCTGGACTGATTTCACATTTGCACAACTATCCTTTTGTGGTATATCCTCTCCCTATGCTCCTACTTAGTACTCTTGCGTCCTCCTGCTCAACATTTTCATCATGCACATTCCACAACCATAATTAGCAAAGTAATGTTTCACTAGAAAATTATCCCAAACAATTCTGAAAGAGATTTTTTGCTCGAATTTATGTTGCCAACCTAGTAAAAGCGGCGATATTTGTTGCCATTTAAGGATGAGGTTTAAAGCATAAAAAAGACTGAGTGTTAAGAACATGCTAACTTGTTCTCATGTTCGTCGCAATCCTATCCTATTGCAATCAAGTGATGACAAAGAACACTATACACAGATAACCTTGCAAAAGAAAAAAACTCACAAGCGTACTCCAGATTTAAACCGTCTCATTTCTTTTTGAACAGTGTAGGCTCCGCAGTTGCAGACACTGGCGGATTCGTTCATCTTCGCTGAATTATCACGCTTCGCTCTGGTTTGAATTAATCCTTCTGTATTCTGTTATATCTGCTTTCGACATATCAAAATTAATTCAGTAATGTATTCTTTTGCATGTTGTCCCATCAGGTTAAACCTGGAAGCGATGGCGGTACCGCAAGATGCAGAAGAGCCCGTTTGCCCTGAGCGTTTTCGTAGTTCTCTAAAGGAGGGTTCATTTACCGTGCCGGACATTTCAACGAAAGTATATAAGGAGGAGTGCACTTACTGTTTTCGTACGCCTTTCTTTGCAGGTATTGTCACACTTAGTTCCTTGAGATATGATGTAATAGTCTCATTTTTCCCTTAAGGAGGATTGTTTATTTGCCTAAAGACGTATGCCTGCTTTTGTTTCACTCATGTGGGCTTGTATGCTGAGCAGTCAGGGAATTCGCTTTTCCTTCACATCTCCAGCAAAAAGGTAAGATTGGCATCCGCATCTAATGCCTTCTTCCCATAGATCCTTTTGCTCAGGTGACTCTTGAATCTGAGGAAGAGTCAGATGGAGAGCCGAAGGACAAAATCACACGCCTTGCAATTGGAACAGACAGCGGATTTGAGCCAAAGAAGTGGCTACTATTCATTCCACTGCTTATGACTCCATATCATCTCATTCTTTTCAGATTCGATGTGGTGGACAGCTACGCGCTGGTTTTATATCCTCATATAAACGCTAAATGTCCAGTGGACGAGAAGCTTGGCGCTGATCTTTACGGGTTAGTGTCGAAATCCTATATCGGCCCAGGTTTTTAAATAGAAGGACTGTTTAAAGTATGCTCAGAGTTCCGTATTGAGATATGCAGGTCATTTGCAAAAAGGTTTGTAAAGAGAGATTTAATTTTAAGACATGGTTGCAACATGACTCGTCATTTGTATGGCCATATCCAG